GGAACCCACCAGCCCTGGAGCATGTGGCTGGTGCCCTAACCACTGAGCTTCAGGCACCTCCTGCTTAATAAATTTTTAGGAGTAACAAATTTTACATTAAACAGAAACACCTTAACATCCTTCAGACACTGACAGGGTGTCCCAGGAAGATACAGAGGGCCACCTGAGTTTGCAGGCTTTGGACAGTCGGTTAAGGGAGTATTAACATAGTAGATTGCTTTTGTCTTTCTAGACTCATCATCTTCACCCCTAATCACTACCAGAGCTAGTTCTTCTGAATTCATCATATTACAATGTCACAGTGGACAGACAGACTTACAAGCACTGGGATTCAGGGAGGTGTTCTGTTGTTTTGGGGGGGGGTTGTTTGTTGGTTGGTTGGTTGGTTTTTAAGATAGGGACACCCACGTTGGAGTGCCATGGCATGAACACAGGACCCTATTGCCTGGAACTTCTGAACTCCAGTGTTTGGAGGTGGATCACTTTAGCTCAAGAGTTAGAGGCTGCTGTGAGCTGTGACATCATAGCACTCTACAGTGGGCAACAAAGTGAGACTCTGTCTCAAAATCAAAGAAAAAGAAAACGAAGAGGGGTAAGAAAAGAAATGGGAAAGAGGAGAAAGAGAGAAAGGAGAAGGAGAAGGAAGAGGAGGAGGAGGAGGAGAAGAAGAAGAAAGGGTGGCAGCTCTGTGCAACCAGGCCTCATGTCTAGCCAAGACTCAAGTGGTCAAAAATGAGGCTCCTGCCTCAGCCTCCCAAGTAGCTGGGACTATAAACGTGGGCCACCATGCCCAGCTAGAGAAATGGGTTTGGTGAGGTGGGACAAGGAGGATGATGTCCAGAAAGTGACCTGAGCACAGGATGTGCTCCGGAGGCAGAGGGACAGAGGAAGAGGTGGTAAAGGAACCAGCCTTTGCCCCATCAGTCATGAGTGCCATCCTGAAACCAAATAGAATAGTCTCAAAAGTATTTCACAGATTGTTTCTTCTGCCTTTCCACATTGGGACTTGTCTAGCAGGAGACTATCCAGAACCAAAAATGAATTCCTATCAGCCTAGCCCACCCCTTCAGAATAGACAACGGCTGTAGCACTAACTTGTATTACTACCTCGGGATGAACCACACCCACCCCACTGGCTTATGTGGGCCAGTAACAACCCCTGGAACAGCTGTGGCTCTGAGAGTGTGGAAATGGTCTACAACTGCAGGGAGTCCCAGAGTAGCTTATGAAGTTGCCATTAAAAAGGAAAATGGGAAATTGTAGCTAAATGGACCTTTATTGACAAAATATTCATTACAAAATATTTACAAAATATTCTCTACATGTTAGCCACCTTTTTATAATTTCTTTTTATAATTTTGTAATGAATATTTTGTCACTAAGTTCCATTCAGCTACAATTTCCCATTTTCCCTGTGTGGTGACTTTATGGGTGACTTTTTGGATGCCCTGTGCATTCCTAAGACAGGAAGCTCCTATTAACCTCTCACTATCCCTAGCTCTGGACTGCACAGGCCTCTGTGACCAGGACAACACCCTGGCGTGTGACAGATCTTCCTGATGGCTGTGTGTGTGCTCACTTCACCTGGGAGATTATGGCTTAGTAAAGGTGAGTATCTTTGGGGTGTGTTCACCAGTTAGTTCCTTGAGAGCAAAGGAGAATGCTCAACTAGAAGGAGAAGGGAAGAAGCCAAGAGGGGACATGCTTCCAACCGAGTAATGCGAGGAACACAGAGGTAGGCACCTGGTCCAGAGAGAGAGACAAAACCAAGACCAGACTGCCGGCCTTCCGGCGATGTGAGGCTGGAACATGCTTGCAGTTTCCAAATGGTACTACCGCCCTGCTCCACCTCTTATGGCTGTATGACCTTGGAAAGTCACCTGACCTTACTAAGCCTCAGTTTCTTCACCTGCAAAATGGAAATAATAAGAGTAAGTGTACCCTAAAATTGAAATAACCCTATACCACCTTAAGTTTGTGGTAAACATATGAAGGAAGCTATTTTATTATTAGCACCCGATAGTGTATGTACAAGTGAAAAGCGCTGAATGAATATAGTTTCTTTAAGGAATGAAAAAACATTTAAATGAGAAACTAACTCTCTCTACTTGATCTTGGAATCATTCTGGAGTGTAATTCCCCATGAGAAGCCTCACAACCGACCTTAACAATTAACTGTGAAGTTAGCTACAGCCACTGCCCCAGGCCAGCCTCCCACTCATCTTTCTATGGTCCTGCCATGACTGCCTGGCTGGGACAATGTACTGCATCAAGATCAGCCCCTTCTGATGGCTGAGGCTTTTTCAGTCTCTAAGGCATCTTATCATTGTCTTAATTAAACTTCCTAACAACCCCATGAGGGAGGCTGACATCCGCTTTCATCCCACTTCACAGATGAAGATTGAGGTCTACAGAGTTCAATGGCTTGCCTAAGCAGACCTGGCTGAGAAGGCGTGTGGCAGAAGGGGAACTCCTACCTCCTGGACAAGCACACTCCTAGGATAGGAGGAATGACTCCTGCTACTCCAGCTGCCATGTCTGCCAACTAATCACTGATCAAGATGTGAAAATGAGGGCACCGGCAGCAGTCTCCACTGCAAACATCAGGACCTTAGTTATATCACAGATTACTGGCCTCTCTCTCCCCCTTTATGGAGCAGCAACTAATCTTAAACCAAAGACTGCCCTGAGGGACCAGCCACAGCTACCCAGGACCCCCCACTGTTGCAGCCCCAGCTTCCTGGAGCCACCAGCACCAGCAGCAGACGGACTTCGGTCCTGTGCTCAGTGCTGCCTGTGTGCCAACCTCAGGCCCCTGCACCGTGGGCCCAGCAGTGCCCACTTGATGGGGTAGTTGTGAGGATTCCCTAGAAGGGTGTGTGTGGAAGCACCTTGTCCATGCTCTGGCCCGTATAATAAAAGTTAGTTGTTGTTTCTGTTAATTGCATATTGTATTTGAACACTCCCTGGACAGGTAGTGAGAAAAATTCGGTTTGAGTCACTGCCTTTGTCATTGCAACCTTGTGTGAGTTACTTAATCTCTGAGTCTCAGTGTCTCCATCGGTACAAAGAACTTCATAATTCCTTCTTCACAGAGAATGATGGGAGTTAGATGATGAAATGCATGGAGCATTTTCTGAGTTGCGAGGGGCTACAGAAGGTTTATGGGGAAATGTTGGTGAGGCTCTGGGAAGGCCACACAGGAGGCTAGGTTAGAATCTGTGCAGCCGTGTGGCTCAGGAGAGACTGGAAGAAGAAATGAGGGAGGCTTAGAGAGAGAGGGGACAGAGGGGACAGAGACAGCTCCTCCCGTGCTTGCTGAGTACCTGCCGGGTCCAGACACTGTCTTGGTGCTGAGGGTGCAGTAGTGAACAAAAGGAACAAAGCCTCTGTCCTGGTGGTGCTGATGTTCTGAGCCTGGGGAGCAGAGCAGGTGACTGCTGACAGTGCTGACAAAAGTGCAAATAGGGGGCAGTGCCTGTGGCTCAAAGGAGTAGGGTGCCAGCCCCATATACCAGAGGTGGCGGGTTCAAATCCAGCCCTGGCCAAAAACTGCAAAAAAATAAATTTTTTTTAAAGTGCAAATAGGAATGAATATAAAGAGGGGGCAAGCAGAAAGAGGGACAGAGAGAAAGAAGACTCCAAGCTTGAGTGAATAAATTGGGCTGGCGGAGGAGGCAGGTGCTGGACAGCCCCCACCCCATCCTAGGACAGGGAGAAACCAAGAGAGTGCAGGGAGGGAAAAGAACTGAGCCAGGAGTGAGAGGTGAGGGAGACAGGAGAGTGGCTGGTGACAGGAAGGGTAGGCTGCTGGGGAAGGTGTCCTGAGAATTGATTCTCAGTTGAGGCTGGAGCTTCGTGCAGACTCCAGGACAGAGACTCTTCTTTTAGAACGCTGTCTCCCACACTGGCAAGCAGACAACTCCCCAACCCCAGGTGGTTCTCCTCCTCCCGCCTCCTCTCCCACAAGCTGGCCAATTCCTGGGGACCTGGAGTGATCCCCAGCCTGGTGGAGGGTACATACACCTAGAGCGCTGTGGGTGAGGATGGTACATACACAGCATGGGGAGGAGAGAATCCGGAGCCAAACCACCTCCAACCACGCCTGCCCATTCTGTCTGTGCTCTTGTAGCCTGACCTCCACTGCCCTCACTCCAACTCCTGTAGAGGATACTGAGCTCCTGGGAAACCCAGAGGGAGGGCAGGAGAGACGACAGTGTGACCAAAGGAAGAGACTGTCATCACTTGAGATAAAAGCATCAAATGCCACTGCAGGTGGGATTGTTGGCTCCAAGGTTATTTTCTCCCTTTTCATTTATCCATGTCTGCTATTTATTCAGAAAATGTTTAAAGTCTGTGGTTCTCTGTGACACAATGTACTAAGTGATGCGTGTAAGGGAGGAGAGCGATGCATCCCCCACTTCTAAGGAGCGTGTCTTTCTGAGAAAGAAAGATAAGTGAAGCGTAGACAATGCCACCTGACTCTGTGCTTCTGTGGATAGCAGAATATTTACCCCGCCTGCCCTGATGCAGCCTTCTGGGACCTCATCCTTTCTTGTGGCCACAGGTGCCATTCCCATTAGTGCTGCCTCACCTCCTTCCCCTTTCAGCTTCCAGGACAATTCTAGAACCAGCTGTCCTATCTGGCCAGAGTGAGACCCTGAGACTCCACCCTTAAGCACCTGGACTTTGATCTTTTGCAAAGGATGGGGACAGCATGAGAGCATCTGCAGGGGGCCCTAAAGGGACAGGGGGATGGTTGGAAAATGGGAATGGACAAAACTCCCTTCAGTTTATACCCAGAAAGAAAGACATGGAGAAAAAGCAAATTCAGTAACTGCTTGTGTTTTATTGGCGATCAGCACAGGGCAGCAGGGGAGGCAGTGAAAGTGAGGAGAAGGCTGGAAAAACGCTGCCTGGACCTTGACTGGGCTCCAGCCAGAAGTGGCAGGGGCAGGATTCCCTCTGACTTCCAGCTTCTGGCTTCCCTCTGCAGTTCTCTACCCCCACTGCAACCCAGGACTGGGAGGACGGAGGAAACCAGCTGGGATGTCCCAAAAAGAGCCAGGAGGGCGCAGCACTCTCGGAGGAAGCTGACTACTGATGCCTGGGAGCGGATGAACATTCCCCCAGGTAGCACCCGGGTAGCGATTAATATTCCCCCAGCTGGTGCCTGGGAATCTGTTGTTGATACCCCACATTCCTGTAGGGTGTGGCATGGGCCTTGTTCCCCACCCAGTCCCAGGACCTCCACCTCCCCAGGACACACTGGGACTCAGGGTCCCCCAGGGGTGACCAGACAGAACCCTGTGGATGAGAGACCAGGGTGGGCGTCGGGCAAGGATTTCTCCCTGAGCACCCAGCATGCTGGAGCGGGGCGGCCGTCTGGACTCCAAGTCCTGGTGGAGGAGAGCAGCCTCCAGTGAGGGGCCTGCCAAGCGCACAGGGAACTCTTCGGGCATGGAGCCTCTGCCCAGAAAGGGGACAGCAGCACTGGAGAGGTAGGATGGTCCTTCCAGCAGCGCTTCTCCCAGACCGTCATCAGCCTCAGCTGCCATCACCTGCAAGGGACCCTCAGAGGGCCAAGAATCCACAGCGGGAAGCCCCCCAGGTGGAGGCCACCTCTGGGCCCCAGAGCCCCCTGCAGGTTGGGAGCCACCTAATAGAGGAGCATCGAGCTTCCGAGGAGCCCTTGCTAAATCATTAGACCTTGGGTCTGGTGCGTACTGAGGATGTTCAGAGCTGGCCAAGGGAGGTTGTCCAATCAGAGGCAAGTTGGTCCCTAAGTTCTGGGGAACTTTTTCTTCTGCTACACTGATGCTCCGAGCAAAGAGGCCTGAGGGAAGGAGAAAATATATTCTATAAAATTTGGATTCAGTCAAAAACCACACTCAGGATACAGAAGGCTACATTGTGGCCCCAAGGCTGCAGGTTCCCCACCCGGGGATGTTTGGTCCCCACACTTTCCCTTCCCAGATTCTCTGATTCCCTGGCTCCCCTGAGAGACCCCAGTGTGTACCCTCCTGCTCTTAATTCTAGTTCCTCAGAGGATCCAAGTCTCCTCCTGCCCAAGGTCAGGTACAGCATCCATACCTGAGAGATGAAGACAGACCAGGATCAGGCCCCAGGGAGCCCAGCTCCCTGCCACACGGCCCTGCATCCTGCTCAGCCCCAGCATCTCCCTTGGCCCCAGGATGCTGGCCCTTTATCCTGATAGTGGGGTGGGGGACAGCAGAAACAGGCCGGGCCAGTGGTTGTGGAGACAATAAATCTGCACATTCCACCCTCGTTCCTGATACGGTCTTTGGCAACAGGTGCCACCTGAATGTCCTAGAGGAAGCTGGGTGTATCCCCGCCCTGGCTCCTTTCCTGCTCGACCCACATGTCCTGGTTCACAGCTTATCCCTGGCTGCCAGCCCTGCCCTTCTCTGGGTCTCTTCACCTTGGGGCTGCAATCGCTGCGTGGCCTCTCTCAGCAATAGAAACACTGGGTTCTATTCTGTCTTTGGGATCCGGATCATTTTCTCCCAGCATCCCTTTCTTGTACATCTCTATATGGCTTTCATCTGTACCTCAACCTGCAGGAGTTCTGGGGTGCAGAAGTGACCTCCATCTGAGGAGCTGCTCCTATGCGAGACCTAGGTCTAGAGGGAGACATGTTTCCTATCCTCATGAGATGATGGCTTATTAATGTCCTATTGCTGTAGTGACTGATTCCCACAAACTCAATGGCTTACAACAATATAAATTTATTATTTTACAGTTTTAGAGATCAGAAGTCCACAATGGGTCTCACTGGGTTGAAATCAAGGTCTCAGCAGGGCTGCTTCTTTCTGAGGCCCCAGGGAGAATCTCTTCCCTGACCTTTTCCAGCGTCTAGAGCATCAGTTCTCAATCTGTGGGTCGTGACCCACAGGAACTGTATTAAAGGGCTGCGGCATTAGGAAGGTTGAGAACCACTGGTCTAGAGGCTGCCCCTGTTCCTTGGCTCATGATTCCTTTCCTCCATCCTCGAAGCAAAAAGGAGCAGGTTCTATCACTCTGACTTCCTTTTCTGCCTCCCACATCCTCATTTAAGGCCCCCATAATTACCCAGGACCCACCCAGATAATCTGGGATAATCTCCCTATTTTAATGTCAGACATCTCATGTCCTTAATCCCATCTACAACCTTAATTTCCCTTTGCTGCATAACCTAACATACTCACAGGTTCCAGGGATTATGACGTGGTCATCTTTGGTGGTGTTGGGGTGGGGACACCATTCTGCCTACCACAGATGGTCAGGTGGTCTAACGAGGGAAAGAGGCTGCTTACAAATAACAGCAGAGGAGAGAATTTAAGTGGGGTTGTCAAAGCCCATGATTTGATCATCGCTGAAGCTTAGTGATGGGAGAATGGAGATTTATTAACTTGTCTATCTTGTCTATTTTTAAATATGTTTGACATATTTATTTATTTATTTTTGCAATTTTTGGCTGGGGCTGGGTTTGAACCCGCTACCTCTGGTATATGGGGCCGGCACCCTACTCCTTTGAGCCACAGGTGCCACCATGTTGGACATTTTTATTAAGACAGTCTCCTCTGTCACCTGTGTAGAGGGTCCTGGCATCATCATAGCTCACATCAACCTGAAAATCTTGGGCTTAAGCAATCCTCATCCCTCAGCCTCCTGAGTGGCTGGGACTACAGGTGCCTGTCAAGACACCCAGCTAGTTTTTCTATTTTTAGTAGAGATGGGGTCTTGTTCTTGGACAGACTGGTCTGGAACTCAAGCAATCCACCCGGCTCAGCCTTCCAGAGTGCTAGGATTACAGGTGTGAGCACCGCGCCCCACCTTGTTTGGCAATTTTTTTCTTTTGAAAATATTTAATTAATGATCTCTTTTTCTTTTTTCAGATGGATGTGAGGATACAATTAAGTTACAATGTTTGCTTTTGTTAGGTAGAGTCCCTGTTGTAATTGTGTCCCACACCCAGGAGGTATGCCATATACCCTTACATTGTGCCCATTAAATGGGAGCACACCAATCCCCCTCTGTCCTCCCTTCTCCCTCTCCCTCCCCCCCATCTTGGATTGAATTGAGTTTTTCTATTGTGCGGGCATGTGTTAGATCATCTACTGGCTTCATTCTTAGTATGAGTACATCGGATACTTGCTTTTCCATTCTTGTGCTATTTCACTAAGAAGAATGTGTTTCAACTTCATCCAGTTGACCTTTTCTTAATAAAAGTTTTTTGATGCCTTTGTTCTTTCCATTTGTTCTGGGAGGCCCCCAGAGTAGGCTTCCTTGGCTGCCTGAAGTCTAAACATGAGCCATGAGCTGACATTAGCTGACTGTGCTGCTCTGTCTCCACTCCCAGCCCCTGCTGGCTCCTGCTAGAATAGGAAGAGCTCTCTGCAGTACTGGCCAATGAATGGAGCCTAGTGATCTTTTGGTGTGACCCACTGGTTTTAGAAAAGCTTTTAATTTAGAGAACACCAGAGACTAAAGGAAACCCCACACCAGAGGTCTGACCCCTTCCTGAAATTCCCATCTGTGTAGCCTTTGTGGGCCTCAATTCCTGCCACTGGCTGCAGTCCAGGAGTCAGATGCTGAGCCAAAGGTGACTCAACTGTGGTGACAGAAACAGGACTGTTTTGGAGCCATGTTGTGTTTTCAATCAACCCTACAGGCTGGGTTAGCTGTGCCAGGTCATTTCCGGTCAATGTTAATACATTTCTGCTGGCTCTGGACTTCTCCTAGCTCTAAACTCAGGGCCAGCTGACACCATCCCAACAAGAGAGAATGGGTTAGGTGTGGAGTGGAGCGGTGTCCTCTGCTGCCAAGAGTAGCCTCTGAGAGGTAGCTTGTGCTCAGAGGTGGGGGCCTTTTCCACAGGGACAGCCTTGTGCCCTCCTTGGGATATGAGAATGTCCCCAGCCTCAGTCTCTCCCCCTGTCTCCGGGATGTACATCCCATGGCCCTCACCACACAGTCTCCTTTCTCTCTTCTCCCACAGAGGCCACCTCCTCTTTTCCATGGAGTACCCCACCCTCTCACCCCTCACCCAAGAGCCATGTCACCCACAGCTCTCACTCTGAAGCCCCAGCAGAGGCAAGAGTGTGCAGGTGGAAAAGATAGTGTGGCTATGTTCTGCCACAAGCCATGAGTCACCGCGCTTGGCTGTGCACCCTGCCCCACTCCCAGCTCTCTGTTCTCTGCTGTCTCCACCCCCAGCTCCCAGAACAACACCCACATGGACTTCCACTCAGTTGACAGGAATCTGGTCAGGGTTGTTGTGCCCAGCCTTCCCAATGTTCCAGGTGTCCCAGAAACCCAGGAAGTTGAGGCTCCAGATTCCCAGAGAGAAGGTGAGGCACTAATGGGAGAGAACAAGGAGGTTGGGTGGGAGGGGGTGGAAATAGTGAAGGCTCCATACAAGGTGACAGGAGGACCTGGGGTGGAGGAGGAGTGGGGAGACAGTGGATTTCCTGGAGCAATAGAGGGAAGGGTCTGGGAGACCAAGTGTCCTCTGCTTTCAGTTCAACAAATATTTGTTTCCTCCTTTGTGGGAAGATAAGGTATAAAGAAACATGGACCAACTCATGAATAAAAATGAGGGAAACAGGAACCTCCAAAGGCTTAGGAGGAACATCACCAGGCTCTAAGAGGAGACACAAGACTCCAACAGGGCAAAATATCTGCGCCTAGTCCACACAGTTTATTGAGCAGTCTGCCCAGGAACCAGAGAGAGCAGGTGCCTGCTCCCGCCTCTGAGGGTGCCCTTCTCTCTAAGCAGCTGAGAGAGAGGAAGTGGAGCCAGGAAGGGGGCTGAGGTGAAGGCCTTGAGAGACATAGGGTGTTTGGAAACAGTGATCTCGGAGGGTGTGGTGAGCTCTTGGAATGGAGGGCAGAGGTGGAATCGGGAGTGAGAGCCCAGTGGCATTTTGGGTTGGGTGACCAGATGGCAAAGAGAAATTGATAAAAAGTGGTCAATGGTTTTAGATAATGGTTTGACTTTGCTTTATTTGGCAAAGGAGGAGTAGAAGAGATAACTTTTCCAGGCATCAGAGGTGCTCTAGGAGCATTTAAAGGGGTTTTCCAGTCAAGAACCTGAGCAGGTGGGGTTAGTCACGGACCATCTCGAAGAAATAACAGAGGACATGTGAAGGGGTACTGCAGTAAAGTGGGAGAGAATGAGGACAGGGGTCTTGAGTCTCCCCTTTTGGGGAAATGAAAAAAGAGGTGACAAGGGAGAGTTTGCAACACTGAGTGTGGAGGAGGCAGAGCAGCCGTCCTGGGAGGAGGGAGACCACTCCTGGGCCCCTGGACTTCTCCCCTCTGGGAAGGGGGGTGGTGTGCACATGTGTGCCTGTGCAGGCACCTATGGGAAAGCTGACTCATGGACTGTCAAGTACCTCTCCCTGCGGCAAGAAAACTTCAGGGTCAACTAGCTGAGGCCCCAGAGGCTTCACCTGGGCCAGGACATCCCGGATGGAACGGCAGGGGAGCCTTCCAGAGATGCTGGAACCACAGGGCTTGGCACCAGCAGAGGGATCAGGGTGGGGGGATCCATCAGACCCCCCACTCAATGTTGAGGAGGAGACAGAAAGGCAAGGGTGACCAGGAAGGCTGGACTTGCTGCCACAGGGCTGAAGGATGATTTTGCCACCTGACTGGGAACTGGAGCTGCTGCTGAAAGACCCAGTGCCTGGAGGCGAGCAAGGCCCCTGGGAAGCATCGCCACAGGGATGGTAGGATGAACTGGAGCTGCTGGAAACGCTAGCACTGCTGGGGATTCTGGAATTGGAGGATCCACAGGGCCCCTTAGAGCCTGTGGAGCCACCACAGAGCTGGACCCCGCCAGTGCCCACTGGCTGGAACACAATAGCAGAGGAAGCTCCCGATGGGTAGATGCCGGAGCTAGGAACGATGGGATTGCTGGAGAAGTATTTGCCCTCAGAGACAGGGGGTCCAGCTGCAAAGGAGGGGACACCTGGGGAGCCTTTAACGGGGTTGTCTTTGGTAAAGTAGCCCACAGGGTAAATTTTCCCCTTGCTGTAGGTCATGCCCGGAACCAGATAACTGTCAGAGGAGCCACCCACCACCTCATAGCCACCGTAGGATTTGTCTACAGAGGTGATAGGGGGGCAGGGCTTCCCTGGAAGGCCACCATTGCTGCAGGGGGCACCTGGAACCACTCCGGGGCCACTGGAGCCATGCTGCTCCACCACCACCACCACAGGCCTCTGACCCCCTGACACCGAGTGGGAGCTGGAGATGTAAGGGCCAGAATGTGAGACGATGGGCCCTCCACTGCAGGGAGAGTCGGGGATGTCCGAGCTGCAGGGATGCTGGTTGGAGCTGATGCTTTGCCTACTGCCGCTGGACATACTGGAGCTTAGGGAGACAGAAGAGCTTCCTCCAGACTGGGAAGAACCAGGGTTGGTTGGTAGAGCAGAGCCATGCCCTACTTGGTAGTTGATGACTTCTGACTGAGAGCTGCTGCTTCCCGAATGGGAGGTGCCAGACGCACCCTGTAGACTAGAGCCAGATCCGGAGGAGTAGCTGATCTGAGAGTATCCTGTTCCTGGCTTAACTAATGAAGATCCTGAAGAACTGCTCTGGCCAACACCGGACCCGCCTGACCCACCACTGGAGGTGCCAGAACCACTAGAGCCACTGCTGGAGATGCTGGAACTGGAGACACTGGAACTGGAAACAGAGCTGCTGGAACTGCTGGAGCCACTGGAGCTACTGAAGCCACTGGAGCCGCCCTTCCCAGAGAGACAGGGGTCGTTAAGGGAGGTGATACGTGTGGGATCCTTACAGGGATCAAAGGTCGCGATGCTCTTAGCCAAGGTCCCTGGGGAGCAAAGTAATGGTTAGTAAGGGCCAGAGAGGTTTTCTTCCTTGCCTTTCAGCCCAGTCTCAGCCATCCACCACTCTGATTGCTCCTAAGAGGAGCCCAGGGAGAGTTTAGAAGGGAGAAAGGAGGGAGAATAGAGACGGCAGAATAAAGGGAGTTTCATTGCTGTGGGGAAAGGGGAACAAACACCTACCAGAAAAACAGAAAATGAGGCTTCCAAGTAGGAGACCTCTAAGAAGTACACTGGAGACAAGCAGGAATGGGAAGTGGCAGGAGCAAGTAGGTCTAAAGGAAGGGACCTAAAGTGACAGAGTGGGGAAACTGAGGCTCTGAGAAGTGAGGGAGACATTCCTGGGCCAAGCTGTGAAACCAAAGGGAAGGAGAAAACAAAAGGCAAAACATTGGAGGGACGAGAAGGGAAGGAGAAATACGGCAGGGCTGACATACAGGAAAGGGTACTTGAGGACTGAGACCCCGTCACCAGATCCCCATGAGAGTCCAGGCTTGGGTAAAGGATGGAAACTGTTTCTTGTCTGTCTCAGCCATGGCAGTACAGCTGGGTGGGGGACAGGATGTGGGGTCATGATCTGTTGCTAAGAACCTGACAGTACCAGTGTGACAGGACACCCCACCCTGAGCCACCCTGCCCTTGCTGGTCCAGCCCAGAGCACCAGGATAAAACCCCACAAGCCTCCAAGGCTCCTGAGCAATATCAGTTTCCATCTCTCCCCACCCAGCCATAGAACACGTGCAGCTGCCCCAACCCAGGTCTGTATCTGACTTCTGCTGCCTTTGCTCCCCTGGAGGATTTGGGCTTTTCTTACCAATGCTTTGCTCTTAACCCCCAGCCCAATTTACTCCACCCTTCCTCCACAACTCTCTCTCCCCTGAGTTCTTTTTGCCCACTCCAAACTCTCCAGGTCCCAAGTGGTGTGGACGGAGCCACAGTCAGTGAACCTCTCTGAGGTTTGGTTCATACAGAGAAGTGGGGTCTGCCTGCTTTCTCACAGTGTTACCATGAAGACTAAGCGACAGCATCTATGTGGAAGATGCTGTAAAACACATGAAGCATTCGACATTATGGTTTATTACAGCCACTCATCCGTGAGCCCTTCACCAACAACCAGACCTCTGTAATCTATGGCATCCCCGTCCTCTCCTCAAAAAGAAATTCTTGGGGGCCTGGGCATGGTGGCTCATGCCTGTAATCCTAGCACTCTGGGAGGCTGAGGCGGGTGGATTGCTTGAGCTCACTAGTTTGAGACCAGTCTGAGCAAGAACGAGACCCCATCTCTAAAACTAGCCCAGCATTATGGCTGGCACCTATAGTCCCAGCTACTTGGGAGGCTGAGGCAACAGAATTGCTTGAGCCCAGGAGATGAGGTTGCTGTGAGCTGTGACACCACAGCACTCTACCGAGGGTGACATAGTGAGACTCTGTCTCAAAAAAAACAAAAAACAAAAAAAGGAAGAAAGGAAGGAAGGAAGGAAGGAAGGAAGGGGAGGGGAAGAAAGAGAGAAAGAAAGAAACAAACAAACAAACTCTGTGCTTCTCCACACCGGACCCCACCTCTGCCCACCCCCTGCATGAGTTCTGCATGAGTTCACCATGTGTTCCTCCCTCCTCTGTTCCCCCAGACACCACCCACCCACCAGACCAAGGCAAGGTCACAGAAATTCCTCAAGGGCTGTAAATGCACAGTGGTTGAGAGCACAGGTCCAGGAATCACCCCGCCTGGGGTTTGAATCCCGGCTTTACTGCTTCCTAATGCGTAATCTCGAGCCAGTTAGTTTTCTGACCTCTTCAAGACTCCATGTCCTCACTTGTAGAGTAGGAATAACAAATCTTTTGCCATACAATTCTTATAAGATCAAAAATGCTAATGTATGATTGAAAGTGCTTAGAGCAGTGCCTGGTACATAAAAGGGGACCTAAATATGGTAGCAATTATTGTTATTAAATGCCCAGTCTTCTTTTTCTAGTGCTCCCATGACAATCATAACCACCACCAGCACCACCATTTATATAACCCTCCAGAATCTCCAAAGCACCTGTCACATACATTATTTAATTCGAGACACATGGAGAGATGAGAGCCAGGTGTTATTATTAACCCCATTTTAGAATTTCAGAAACTGAGGCTTCGGAAGGTTTAAGTGACTTGCCTAAGGTGACAGGGCAGTGAGGAGCAGCTCCCACACTCAAACCTCAGCTCCCTGAGCCCCTACCCCTCCCACTTGCCAAGTCCTCTCCTGGATTCTCCCTCCCCCACCTCCCTCCTGCTCCCAGGGCCCCAGCCTCCTACCTGGCAGGAGGAGACCAGCCAGCAGCAGCACCTTCATCCCGAGCCCGCCCACACGCCCCGTTTGGGGTGCCCAAGAGGAGCCCATCCTGGAGTGAGTGGCCTTCTGACTGACAGTAGCTCATGGACACCTGGGTCCTTTATCCAGGGCTGGACATTCCCTGGGCAGGAGTCACTAAGGGGAGGGAGGGAGGGACAGAGAGGGTGGGAGCCTGGGGGAAGTTGGCGTGGCCAGGAGTAATCAGCCTGGAGCATCTGCCTACTCAGCAGCAGTAGTGGCTGCAGTGTGGGTACCCACGGCCACAGGCCCTACCATCCTGTCACCTGACTGGCCTGCTCTGGCTCCTCATTGCCTAACCTGGAACCAGGCGCTCTGCCCACTCTGGGGCGTCCACTCTCACACAGGACCAGTCGCCTGGCTCCCTTCATCCTTCTGCCTCCCTGATCTGGCCTGTCAACTCCCACCCTGCCTCCACTTGCAGACATGGGCATTTCAACTTTCCCTTCCGCACTTGGGTGCCTGCTCCAGTCCTCCACCCCACCCCTTGGGGCTCCCAAGCCCCCCCATCCCTGTTTGCTGCTGCCCTTGGGACCCCATCACTCCGCCTTCACTTTCTTCCTTCAGATGTGAGATCTGCCCCTGCCCCAGTGCCCCCTGCTGTCACTACCCAAGTACTAGGCAGCCACACCAGCATGTGTTCCATCCAGGAGTGAAACTTGGTGTTCACGTCCCCAAACCAGCTCCCTGACCTCTCCTTCCTGGTGGAGGTGCTGGAGCTGGGGCTCAGCCTGGGGCTCAGGCTGGGCTGGGGACCCCTGTCATAGCTAGCCCTGGTTACTCACAAGCCACTTGCAGCCCCTCCCCCTGGGCTGGTGACCCAGACCTCAGAGGGTGAGCAAGAGGCTAATAAGGCTAATTGGAGAGGTGGTGGCCCCTGGGCTGAGTGAGTGAGCAGGAAGTAGCAGCCAGCTGGTACTGGGTAGAAAAGGAGGGCCAGGCAGGCTCCTGGGTCCCCAGGATGCATGGCAGGCCTAGAGGGCCAGAGCCCTAGTCTGCTAGGAGGGTGATGGTTTCTCCTCCACTGCATTTCCCTCCCTCCTGCTTTGGCCCCACCTCAGCCAATTAATTGCTCATTAGTATCGCGGGGAGTATCAGTATCGGAGGGAGGGGCTGGAAATCAGTAGAGCAGACCTTTCCTCCTCCCCCAGAGCAGATGGCTGCCTTGGGGAGCCCCTGTTCCCCTCACCCAAACTCATCAGAGTTCCTGTCTCTTCACAAAGGCAGCTCTGTCCCTGGAGCCCTGGGGCTGGTCTCTCCCACTCTTTCTGCCTCCTGACCCTCCTGTAACTCTAGTCCAGCGCGAGCATGGACATGTTCCTTCTCTGTGCTATCTATGAGGTTGCAGGACAATTAAGTCTGAGAACTCATCCTAGAAAAAGTGCTACATGCCTCATTGCTGAATGTCACTGCAGTCACCTTCCTGGTACTCCCCTTGGGAAGCTATGTGCTGACACCAGCCCCTGTCCACCCTTCAAAGCAGTTTTGGAACTCTTTTTCTGGAATAGCTGTCAGAGCTGTCATCATAATAAGGTAGCCACTGGCCACACGGGACTAAGAGAACCAACCGAGGAACTGAATTTTGAATTTTACTTAATTTTAATTCATTTCAATATGGACAGACATATGCAGCTAGTGGCCACCATCTAGGCTAGCCTTGACTTGCTGGCAGCACTCAAATGGTAGTGGGAGCTTTGAGCAGTGGCAGTACGGTAGCCAGTGAGATTTAGCCAAAATCTGATTACTGCTAATTGAAAACTTTCCCCACTGCCCTGCTATGATGACAGTCAGCACCAACAATTTTTAACAGTCTCTATGGAGAGAGTGGGAAGGAAGAGGGGCTCTAGGAGTCATGGAGAGAGGCAACGATGGGACAGTCCTCCCTTAAAGAGGGCTGATGTAGGGGCAGCGCCTGTGGCTCAGTGAGTAGGGCGCCAGCCCCATATACCGAGGGTGGCAGGTTTGAACCTGGCCCCAGCCAAACTGCAACCAAAAAATAGCATTGTGTCGGGCACCTGTAGTCCCAGCTACTTGGGAGGCTGAGGCAAAAGAATTGCCTAAGCCCAGGAACTTGAGGTTGCTGTGAGCTGTGATGCCACAGAACTTTACTGAGGATGACAAAATGAGACTCTGTCTCTAAAAAAAAAAAAAAAAAAAAAATGGAGGGCTGATGTGATGTTTTGGGGAAAACAAACAACCAAACAAAAAAATACTGGTTTTAGAATGAGGATGACATAAGTTCAAGTCCCACTTAACCCCTGGCTCTGGGCAACTCACCAAACTTTTCTAAACTTCAATTTCCTCCCTACAATGTTTAATTTTATTTATTTATTTACTTGGAGAGTCTCAGTCTCTCACCCTGACTAGAGTGCTGTGGTTGATCATAGCTCATAACAGCCTCAAACTCCTAAATTCATTTTATTTATTTATTTATTTATTTATTTATTCATATGAGACAGTGTCTCATTTTGTCACCCTTGGTAGAGTGCCGTGGTGTCATAGCTCACAGCAACCTCCAACTCTTGGGCTTAAGCGATTCTCTTGCCTAAGCCTCCCAAGTAGCTGGGACTACAGGTGCTCGCCACAATGCCGGGCTATTTTTTGTTACAGCTGCCACTGCTGTTTTAGCTGGCCAGGGCTGGGTTCAAACCTGCCACCCTTGGTATATGGGGCCGGCGCTCTGCCCACTGAGCCACAGGTGCTGCCCCCTTTCTCTCTTCTGTAAGATTTTTTTTCTTTCTCTTCCCAACTAACTCATCTCATTGGCTTGAAGGGTTCAGGCTTCTTTCTTCCTCCCATCCCACATCTCCTTGGCACAGCACACTCAGTCCTGTTTGTTGTCCTGCTCCACTCCAGGCACAGCTTAGAAAGAGAAGAGAGAATCTCAAGTATGAGCTTGCTCTGTCGCCCTGGGTAGAATGCAGTGGCATCACAGCTCACAGCAACCTCCAACTCCTGGGCTTAGGCGATTCTCCTGCCTCAGCCTCCTGAGAAGCTGGAACTACAGGCACCCACCACAATGCCCAGCTATTTTTTGTAGCAAATTGGCCGGGGGTCCTTGCTGCCTGAGCCTCTTCCCTCCAGGGAGTGCGGACTGAAGGCTTAAGGAGGCCTTGGGAGGGATGCATGTTCAGAAGGGCAGTGTCACTTTAAATGCATCCCTGTCACGTTTGTGTGTGTGGCAAGGGAACAGAGGGGACTCTGCTGGGATCTGGACTGGAGACTAAGGAGGAGAGTGAGCTGTGGGGTGAACCCATCACTGAGCCAGAGGCACCACCTCAACTCCTAAATTTAAGTGATCCTCCTGCCTCAGCCACCAGAGGAACTGGGACTATAGGCACCCGCCACCATGCCCCACTAATTTTGTGTGTGTGTGTGGAGATGGGGGTCTCAGTCTTACTCAGGCTGGTTTAAAACTCCTGAGCTCAAGCAATCCTCCTACCTTGGCCTCCCAGAGTGCTAGGATTACAGTCGTGAGCCAGCATGCTTAGTAGAAAATGGGAATACTGTATTTTAAACAACTCATACCTTGTAAGATATTTGTGAAGCTCAAACAGGAAATTATCAGAACAATTAAATGGGACAAGGGTGCAGTCCCTTAGCACAGGTCCCCAGCCCTCCTACAGGGCATGAAAACAGGGTGGGTTCACCCCACAGCTCCCTCCCCTCCTTAGTGGCCAGTCCAGATCCCAGCAGAGTCCCCTCTGTTCCCTTGCCACACACACAAATGTGAGACAGAGATGCATTTAAAGTGACGCTGCCGGCTCGGCGCCTATAGCTCAACCGGCTAAGGCGCCAGCCACGTACACCTAAGGTGGCGGGTTCGAATCCCCAGCCCGGACCCGCCAAACAACAATAATGGCTGCAACCAAAAAATAGCCGGGCGTTGTGGCGGGCGCCTGTGGTCCCAGCAACTTGGGAGGCTGAGGCAGGAGACTCGCTTGAGCCCAGGAGTTGGAGGTTGCTGTGAGCTGTAATGCCATGGCACTCTACCCAGGGGGACAGCTTGAGGCTCTGTCTCAAAAAAAAAAAAAAAAAAAAAAATAAAGTGACGCTGCCCTTCTGAACGTGCATCGCCCCCAAGGCCTCCTTAAGCCTTCAGTCCGCACTGCCTGGAGGGAAGAGGCTCGGGCAGGGAAGTGGGCTGCAGAGAGCAGGGGGAGTGCAGAGCCTGTGGACTAGATGGTGGGAGAAGCCAGGACACCAGGGCTCTTTTCCAACACTAGCTTCCTCTGAGCAGCCAGCAGTGACAGTTTCTCTGTTTTCTTTCTCACATTCCTGCCAGTTACCATCAGACTTTGGCCAGGACAGCTGAGCTGGAAGAGGCACAGTCTCTCCCAGCCTCCCACCAGGTCTCCAGCCACCCACCTATGCTGGTGATGTGGCCACATTCCTCCTCCTGCTGCTTTCCCCTGACCGTGATGTCCACCCCTGTCCCTACCATCCCACCATCTGGGCCTCCTGGTTCCTGGAGTACCTGCCCACATCTGTGCCCTCTGAACTCCAACCCACACTGCCATTTTCTTACTGAATACCCATCTGCTGTGTTGTATTTTACTCTGAGCTCACCATTAATTAACCATCCACTCTGCGCAAGCAGGGGAGACACCGGCTGAGTGACCACCTTCTGTGAAGCTGTCAGTTTGGTGACATCCACGGTCGTGCAGGGAGATCTACTGTGTTCCACGGCAACAGAGTGTGCCCCTGACCCTGCCAGCATATGCCCGGCCCACTGGATGGACTGGGGAGAACATGGGTGGCACAGATCCACCTTGTCCCTACACTCTACCCCAGTGAACCAAGCTGAAAGCACATGCTTTCCATTCATAAGAGATGGGGACCTTGCCTTGCATTATGAAGAAGGCAGGTGGCTGCCCCTCGAGCAACCCCATGCTGCCATCTTTACTGTGCTGTGCTGCAGTTGTAAGGAGGGTGGATTGTTTCTTGCCCTGAGGAGCTGCAGTGCAGCGGGGCACACACCGCAGAGAGAAGGCTGGAGTGGAGAAGGGGGCAGGCACTTGGCTTCAAGG